AATCAGAAACCTAACCATCGGTTGATGAACGAAGGTTTTCAAAATAATTTAATGCGGTCGTTAGCTCGATTTTTGAATAGGATGTGAACTACATACAAGTTTCAGAAGCGGCGGTGAAGTTTCAAGATGCCACCGGTAGATGTATTACTATCTGGTCGTCATTGATCGGTCCCAGTGTTTTCAAAGGGGCCCGGCGTCGTTAAACAAATTTTCGAGGTATTCCGTGGGCTTCTAGGCCCTCTACGAAAAAATGTTATTATTCGAGGTTTCGAGCGAAAGCGAAACCGTGTTCGTCGAACCCGGGCTTAATGAAGGTACATTCTTCGCTCGCCCTCCGATCAAGATATCTCTCGTATAAATTGAATGCTTTTCACCGAAGCTCAATCAAGCGGTGCGGTAGTCGAAAAGAAAAAAAGAAAAATACTACCGGAGTACGATCTCGATTAGAGAACCTCGATCGACGCGATCGTCGTTGCGGTATGCCGCGCTGAATTTCGTCCTTTCCCAACGTCTGGGTTGATCAGCTGATCGATCGAAAATCTTATTTCTCAGTCAGATGAAAAACAGTTGAGTTGGAAATAAACTTGACACCGAGGAAAATGACATTCATGGCCTGACATTCAAGGACCAGGTACGTAAAACTCGGATTCGTAAGTGTACCTTGAAGTTGATCTGATTCGTATTGAATAGCCATCGAACGAAAGGCTGGCTCGATCGGCAGCAAAGATCCGCGGAAGCGAGCAAAACGTCGCCAACGAAGTCTCGTTCGCCAGTTGGAATACGAGAGGAACGAATCGGCGATCTTCCGGCAGAGTCACGAGGCCGTGGAATACGAAGAGAAGTGGCGAGCAGACGGCCGATGCAAAGCGTCCAGCAGAACCCGGTTGTGGGTCTCTGGCAGAAACATTGTCGGCACGGAGCTGTCGTCGCCGGAGAAGCGGTCCGTTAGTTCGAGAGCCCGTTGTGTCTGGCTAACAAGTCGACCCTCGTGGCCCCTCGAGGGTGGTCGGCCCCGGGAGGTCTCCCGATCACGCGCCTGCTATCGGCTACTCGGACACGCCCGCGGTCCGTCATCCCATCATCCACGCTCGAACCTCGACACGACACCGCGCGCCGTGGCTTGGCCCTCGTGCACCCAAGTTGGATGATATCCGACCGACCGAGCAGGTACACACCGCACCTCCTCCACCGCGCCAGATAGGATAATGTTCCGCTATTTAGAGGATCGAGCTTGCTTCGAAATGCCCGCAGCCACCCATGGTGAGCGCAACTCGAGCGCATCGTTCGAATTACTTTGCTCCGATCTGCCAGCCGAATCAAACTTTGCACTAGTTTCTTTTAGTTAAGAAGTTTATAGTGTTAAGATTTGTTTTTTTGTCTATCCATTTAAAGTAGTGGGCAGTTGAATAAAATGTATTATAAAAATCGTCATCAAATTTTCTTTATACAATCCTTTCTATGAAGCATAACTTATTAACCCATATGGACCAACCCGAATATCTCATGAAATTAAGTTTGATCCCAGAAAAGTTCTCAAAGACCCATGAAACCTGACTTCTCTCATGCTCGTTCTGAAGCACCATACCGTATCCATATTCCCTCCAAAGAGAGGATATTTTTTCCCACGTGATCTGGCGAAACGAAAGAGCCGACTCGTTTTCTACTCTTCCGTCGAGTGGTCCGCCGATCGCGAGTACTCTCATTGTTTCACGGCACAATATAACGGGCCGGGCCCGAGCGCGTTTCGCTCGCACACAAGCCGGGACAAGTGTGCGAAAAGCTGCGAGGGTGGTGTACCAGCGAAAGAAATCGTACGCGAAGGGCAGCAAAGCCGATGGATCGTCGTACAAAGGACGCGCTAAACACACAAACAGCCGGATTGCAATAATGGATGCGTGTTGTACAAATACGATATCGGCTCGAGGGGAACGCCACGGGCACGTGACCCTTTCAAAAGGACTCGGAATATAACGAACACCCCCAATGGCGTAACCCCCCACAGGGGCCACGCTCCTCGCTCGTGTCCTCCACCAGTTACCGGGGTTAACTTACATGCCCACCACCGCTAATACGTGCTGGTACACGATTTCTCTCTTTCTTCGTGCTTTTTTCTTTTGCATCTACCCCATCCCCTCGGTAGGATAGTTTTTTTTTTCACGACGTTGTTACTGGCTACTGATGCTTAGGTAATAATTTTCGTCATTTTGGAATGGATTCACACGCTCGTGCATTTGGGCACAGAATTAAATGCAAAGTACATTTCCTTTTAAAAACGTCACATATGTACATAGTTAGCGAGGAATACTTGTCTTTTTAACAAGAATTCATGAATTATATTTCTTAGAATGATGCTTTGATAATAAAAAAAAAGCTAGGTGCTGACTAAATAAAACTGAAATAAAAACTCTTGGAAGAACCACATTTTCATTCCAAGGAATCTGAATCGTGGAAAGACGAGGAGTGGGGAATTTACGATAAATCAGCGTCGCAATTAGTGAAAACGTGCTACGCGATTTGCGGCTTACACGTCGGAAGTCCGCACTTAGGATACCAAACGACGGCAATTTCAGCCCCGTAAGGACACGTGTCGAAATAAACCGCGTGCCTATAATAGCTTCTGAATTGCACGCCCGCCCTTCGTTATTCTGGCCGTATGTTTCCTGCAGAACTCTATAGGAAAGCCTAGCCAACAGAGGGGGTGGAGCGAGATGTTTTTATCTGGCCGCGATATCAACGACGCGTGTCACCGATACACCATGATTCTTGACATCATTATGGAAAAACGTTTCCGTGACGATCGAAATCTGGCCTGCAAATGGCGGTAATCGAGTGTGACACGCGACCGACACGATTATCCAAATTGCAACACGTCAAATGTCTCCTTTCAGATCAACACTTGTAAAACACTTTAACTCCGTTTCCTTTTTCTTTCATTTTTTTAGAGGATATGTCTGAAGAAATCTCGTGACACCTATCGAAAATTCTACAAGTTAATCAATAATTTTAGAGTGTACTACTCTGAATTATTAAATCTATAAATTATCAAAATACGGGGTTTTAGTAAATTATTATAGATATTTATCTAATGAGAGGGTTGAATTAAATTAATGAGAAAAATTGTACGCTCATTAGGCGTCCTTTAAAGAACGATGTACGGTTGAAAGAAAAGTCATCGTGAAAAAATAATATGTTCAGCTATCAGGAGTGTATTCGAGAAAATCGCGTGTTTCATTCAATAACATATTATTGTTTTGTAATTTTTTAATGCAATCGAACGCTAGGGAAGTCAACCCAACACATAATGAATAATTCATCGAGCGAAACTGTGGCTGACTAAATATAAGGGTGCAGTCGCGATACTCGTGCACTAATTTCGATAGTCGATCGATAGTCGTTGTTGTGACAATCATGGAGCAACGTTGTTGAGACCCGTCATCGCGTTCACCGTTCTTCTTTTTTTATTTACACGGCGCTACGCAAATTGACATGTGAAGCACACACTTGTGCCTGACAGTCGGGATGATGACGCAAAATAGAGGGTGAAAACAACCATTACATCCGTTCTTTATCGTTCCAAGGAAATCACGTAGAAAATAAAAATTGAAAATCACATGTTATTGTTTTTTACTACACTTGTAAGTTTATTACAGCAACGAAATTGTCAGGTGACACTTTTAACGCGAGACAGAAATAAATTCGATGAATTTCTCTGATTTTTGCGCACCAGACAGACACGATTCCTGGAAAATTCCCTGGGGCCGGTTTAATTGGATTCATTCGGTTATCCGGTTCAATAAATCGGAAAAATCATTTTCGAGAATTCAGCATTAAATTCGACCCGATGAATACTCGTGGCCACTATGATCCTCCAGATTGCGATTATTTTCGATTTATAGACATTGGAACGTTCAGATTTTTACGTAAATTGAAACTGTTAAATGATATTAATTTACTATATAAAAAAGTAGACGAGCTTTTCAGAAGTTAATTTACTCCTGCGTTAAATTGGTATTAATTACTGCTCTTTTATGGTTAAATTCCTTCCCCGACTATACAACTTTTAAATTCTATAATTACTTAATTTTCATGATAGTAAAATAAAACATCGTGTCAATATAAAGTGATTAACACTTGAATGCCGCAGTGAAAATGGAAATCTATTGTGAAACCTACTAAAGTTTTAATTTTTAAGAATAGGAACAATTAATTTAAAAATTTCAAATTTCAAGCTTTCTATTTTCTATTTTATATTATTTGTACGAGAGCAATATTATTTCAAATAATGCTTTTCTATCGTTTTTTTTTTAATTATTCAGGTATGTGTAATTTGCGATGCTGGTCATCGGTGACCCTCACGGCATTCAACATGTTAATTTAACAAACTGAAAATCTTATTTCTCTATGTTTTTATTAAATATTGGTACGCGTTTTGAGAAAAGTACTGCTACCTCTATCTAACGGAATGCGATGAAATTAATCCAACAGAGGAATCTCTTCTTCTGGAAAATGAGTGATTTTTAGTCTTTTCTGATAAAAATAAAGCATTCAAAAATAAATTTTCCTTATTTTTCCTATAGTACCTGACTTTTCGAACACAATAGAATTCAGGAACATTATATTTAATCGATTAATTGATTTTCTTCGTGTCCCGAGGCAGCTAAAATAGTTCTCTTTAGAGCAGCATCCTGAATTTCCGACGCGGGCAAAACAGAATACGATGTAGCCAACATTGTTACACGTTTTCAAAATGCAAAGTTTGCAACCAATTTTATTTAACGCTTTTACGATGCGAGTTGGTATTATTTAAATTGCATTATACTTTTAGAAAAAAAAGAAAAGAAGAAATGGAACTGCATGTATCGTTAGTCTTCCAGTAAAATACTAGACGGCGCTACTGATATTATTTTCAAAACGCGCACATAAAGTTATAAACAAACGTGTATTTTTAATAATAATCACGAAAATATCACTGGAAGTTTCAGTGTAAATTAGATTACTTTCAAGAAATCATTGTAACTAATGAGACGATTATTATTATTAAATAAAAATTACATCCTATGAATATATATTCGTAGCTGTTTATCGATTATGAATTAATCGAGTAATCAAACGACGATTAATTAATTATAGACCGATAACCTCGAGAATTTTGCCGAACAAGCAGGCAACACGTCGCACAAAAGCGTAGTGCATTAAATATAAGCGATCGAGCCTATCGTAACACGATGGGTCCCAGGAAATTTCGGCCAAGCACTTATCAAGTTTGCATAACTATCCTGGGGGCAAAACATTTACCCCAAAATGCAAACCCTTCTATTGTGATTAAAGTGGGCAATCGAAAAAGAAAAACCATGATTCGACAAAGAACTGATGCACCAATTTATAAAGAAGTAACGTTATAGAATAATTATTCTAATTGAAAATTTTATAAATTCTCCACTTCCAATTCAAGTAATCGTAACCCTAATTTTCAGTACTATGTCTTTGATTTATTCTGCAATTTGGAAGAACTTTTGAGCACGAAAATCGTGATAGCTGTATATTTAAAGCATTTCGTACGGCTGAAATTTCATGGCAGCACAAGTTTTGAAGTGGCGCTCGTGTGGGAGCAGCCAGGTAATTAGGGGTCGTCAATGTTTAACATTCCTCTTTGATTCTCAAATCTGCTAATGGTTTTCAATAGATCGTCAATATTACCATAAATGGGCGATGTTGACGAATCCAAAGGATCTAGCAGCAGGGCCAAAAGGTTACGTTAAATGCAATATAGCAATTAACGTGAAAGGGGAGAAGCTGAGAGTACATCCTGACACGGAGGGTGAGGATGACATCGAAGGGTAATATCTAAAATATAGAAGTAGACCGTTAAGAACTTTCGGTATAACGCTTAAATTATACTCTCTGTCTTCGAGATCGATATAACCACTTGACAAGCTAGTTATAAATCCTTGCAAACTCGATTAAAATCTACCTCTACATCAGTCGAGCCAGAATTAATCCGATATTCGAAGAATAATCATTCCCGTCAAACTCTTAGAAAATATTTATCAAATTCAACTTCTATTTTAACTCCGATGTTCAATATTTAATATAAAACTGTAGAATTATCAGAGACTCTCATAAATTTATTTTAAGAAATTCAGTTAGTGGTTCATTAAATAAATACTTATGCGCTATTTCCTTCGAAAAAATCTGTCACAAAGTCCTCTCCTAAATATTAAATAGCTGCAGAAGATTCGCGTTTAAAATAAATTTATCGATCTATCAACAAAAATGACACTAATTATTATTACTGAACGTTGTTTCAAAGACTGGCAACTTCGTTTTAACTTTCGCATCAAACTTTGGAAAATTCGAGTTGAATCAGAAGATCAGCATAGAAAATTGAATAATCACGCGGCAGTTAACTTTGATCGCAAGATAGCATTACCCGAGGGTCTCTTTACGAGTACCAAACTAATGTCTCTAAGAATAATTCATCGAAACTCGTCGTTGGTCGCATCAGAATCCGCGAACCGCAGCGTTCGTCTTTAATCTTCGAGGTACTACCGTCGCGTAACCGTTCATCTACATACATATTGCGTCCTTAGTTGAAGGGTAATAACGTAGGTAGATTTCCGGTATCCATTTTAATGCTAACACATGGTGCTCGTGGCGCGTGTCGGGCTAAATCGATTCGGTACCCGGCGAAATTGCGAGCGAACCGCTCGATTAATCGAGATTCGACCAATTACAGGAATCTCTTGTTGCCGATCGGCGGTGAATCTATGCCGTTCCGGCAACGAGCTCGCTATATTTTTTCCATTTATCGGGCCGATGGTTTACCGGACATGAGCAGCGTCTGCGTGAAAAACGACTTCCAAAATATTAATCCGTACGTGCAGATTTCGTTCGCGGGAATGAAAGTAAGTTGAAAAAAAAAAGAATGAAATTTTTAACCCTCGATGATCGAGAGTCGGGATGAATGACTAATTATCGCAGGGATGGACCAGCGAGGCCTGGCAAACTTATGAGCCGAGATTCAACGAGAAAATAACATTCAGAGAAATGTTTCCATCCCTCTGTCAACGCGTCAGAATCGCCATCAAGCATCGTGTCAACAGTTGTCGAACCTGCGTCGTGGCTTCCTGCATTTTGAATCTCAGCCACCTATCAAATTCTGGGGAATACGGTAATTTCTACCCAGCATTGCTAATAATAAAAGAAGTAACGAAAATGTACCGAAAGTGCGGCGAAATTGCAGATAAAAAAAATATGAAAGGACAGGATAAATTAAAAGATAGAAACACGGTTGGTAAACTGAAACTCAAACAGGCAGCTGCAAACGAAACGTTGATTAACCAGCCTTGTTTGTTCCGTTCTATTTAGACTTTAAATTATTTCCTCTACAGCTCGTCCGTGTTTAATGCAACTAACGTTGTGTAACGTTGATTCGATCCTATCGAATCCGATTTATCTTCTTTTTCCTCCGTTCTATGATCGCTTCGAGCTACCCCCTTCACGTAAAGCGAAGAATATACATTCTTTTATATTCCCAGTTCAATATTATCAAAGGATCATCATTCTGATCCTCAAATATTGAGATTCGATTTTGTTAGCAATTTATAGTAAGAATTATTTTGGTTAAACGATAAAGAAAACTAAAAGACCACGAAACTGATGTAGGATGTAAGGTGTAAGATATTCTGACGTATTACATCAATTCCTTCAGGTTTCCTGCCAACTTACGGACCATCGTTCCTTCATTTTTACGGTATTGGATCGTCGGAGAGGAACAGCTGTTTCGGCAAGTGTTCCACAAGCCTGCCATTTTATCGCGGTAGACTTCTTCTCTCGCTAAAAACTGAAATGGATGACCCAGAAGCGTCGTCCGGAATCAGCGCCGAAACAGAGCCTACCCCTCCCATCATCGAGGTACGTCTATCGCGATCAATTTCCTTTTTGAACATCAATTCGTTGCACGATTGCCTTTATCGTTTTGACAATTTCCCATGTGCCACTGCGTTTGTAGATGAAATTTATTGCACGAGAGAAAATCTGAGTTATGATAAAATTTCAGAGGTGTTTTTCGTTTTATATTCGACCATTTCGTTCGAACGATTTTTATTAGAAATCTGAAATTCGTTTCACGATTTATTTTAATATAACATCGAGGTACCCTGGATTCTATTTTTTTTTACTTTCGCTTTCGGATGCTTTTTAACGTTTGAAATTTCGTCGAAATGAAACTTTTATATGAGAAATTTCTTAAGTTCGCTGAAATCGCCGAGTGAAACTTATTAAACGTTGAACACTAAAGAAAGGGGTCAAATCTCCGCCCCTTTGGTCAAGGAACAAGCGAACCCAACCCTCGGATCGATCCCACGACCATTAATACCGCCTAATGATTCTTTTTTTTTTTTCAAAGAAAAGCTTATGGAGAACAGAGGAATATTACCTGGTCGCTGTTCTCTACGATGCGAGTATGATCGATCGGCGAAGATTTTCATGGAAATCAATAAGCTTCGAGGTTAGCCTTGGGAACGCCGGTAATAGACAATTCTCGCACAGCCAATGCTTCGACGACAATAACGACGGTATTGGATTCTCCTGGATACCATCCTTAACAATTCAATTCAAGTGGTCGAAAATTTCGGAACCCCTACTTCCACTTGAACTTCCTCTCAAACTAGCCTCCAATTGTCGATCGCTTGTTAACACTTTGCACTGGTGATCATTTGTATCGTATTGATTGGCTTCTAATAAATTTCATCACCTGTATACTCGTGATTGAATCAGGCTTCCTAACTCGTGAAGTAGGAGGAAGATCAGAAAAATAAAATTTTGAAAATTCCTGTTGCCCCTATATCTCCATTTTCCCTAAGAAAGCTCAATTTGATCGCGAGCGTACAATGAACGTGAATCTGTGACAATTGGAAATAAGCACACGAGTTCAAAGGGTTAACAAAGTTCACGGAGTAGGCGGTTACCCTAATTAACACGCGATTAATTTTCAGCTGGAAACAGAACGATAGCAGAGTTCGACAGCGAGACCGTGTCACGAACTACAGGGTCCCTGGATGGCAAATATAATTATCTGCCTCTTGGCTCGAGAAAGCCGTGCTTGTACGTCAGATCTTGGTGGCCCAATCTCGAGTGGAGGATGCACAATAGTAACAGTTTGGCTTTCATCGCTGAATTTCTTGTAAGTTCAACCAATTTCGCGTTTACCAATTGCAATATCGAGTGACTTGGAAAACAGGCCTTGCTACTTCAAATGCTATTTCGTATTGAGAGTTGAAAAGTTCCGAAACAAACGTTCTAAACTTCCTTCGAAGGTGCACAATCAAAAATTTAACATTTAACATTGTATTTTGTTAATTTCTCTAGCAACAGCATTTTATACCTCATAAACATAAATTCGCTTCAACGTAAAATGTTATTTACAATCTAAAACTCATCGGAGTTAACAATTTCCGGCGATCCAATGTTTCCAACTTCATCCCGAGGCGGCTGGTTGCAGTATTTAAAATTTAAACAGACATTTCACGGCGCGCAAACTCGTCTACATCAGCTAGCCAAGAACTCGTCGGAAATTCGATAAATGACGCGTTAAAATTCCAAGCCGGTCGTTAACGCGAAATCGTTACACGGACCAGCTTAACTTTCACCAATTTCGAAGAAATATTTCATAGATCCTGCAAACTCGTGAATTTTCACCGAGCGCAAGGAAATAAGAGAGTTTCTTGCTCAAAGTAGAACGTCGACAGGAACAGAAGTTGGAGAGACTGGATGGTTTGGTAACATTGGAACAACCGGACGTTTATAAACTGTACAACGAAACGATTCGTACCCTGGAGAATCATTGCATCCGTTATTTGCATACGTTGGACACGGAACGGTACGGCGACCAGGGTGGCACCACGAAGCTCGATCGACATCGCGTGAATCTCTGCCGTAAAGAGATCGAGGATATCCTGATGAGGATCAAGATCAACGGAGAGCTTCCGAACAATCGTTACACGAGGATCGCGATGTCGCACGCGTACCAGTACCTCAAGAAACTGAAGAAGATTCAGGAAGACGTAAGTCGAATTTAACCAACTTTGCGTTCTTTTTTTCTCTCTCAATAATAGATAAAAAATTACAGGCTAAACGATCCAACTTTTGACTTAATTATGATTCAAGTTTCCTTCAAATTTCACTAACTTCCAGAAGTTTTTCATTTTAACATTTATGAAGCAAGAAAAAATTAAATAACGCTGTGCTTTAAGTTTACATTTATTTTCGCAGATTTCTTGCTTCCTTTAAATCGTTATTTTTCCTAGGTAGTCTGATTTGATCGCGAACATACATCAATCTTTGCACGTGTCTATCTCTTCAACTGTTATACAGAGCTTTTACAAATTTACCAGCCTCAGCACAGTCTGCCAGACGTTTTCATTTGGATGATAGCCGGCTCGAAGCGAGTGGCGTACGCCAGATTCTCGCCAGAGGAGATCATTTATTCAGAACAGGAGACGGAGAGAGGGAACAAGTGTGGCAGGAAAGTGGACGTGTTCATGAGGAATCCGTGGGACGAAGATGAGGCAGATTACGTAGCCTGCAAACTGGAAACATTTCTATGGCTTGGCAACGCGAAATACATCGGTGCATGTTGGTCGTCGATCCCCCCAGGATACGAGGTGGACCACGAAAGTTACGTCGACTCGTTCCCGAAATATTTCGAGTACACTCGATCCACGGTAACGACAATTTCCACTACTGCTGAAATTTCGGGGCAAGGTCGAGATACTCGACTTTAATTAACACGCATTCGAGAGATACAGGGCAGAAACGAGGGTGTATTTTTCCGGGGATTTTTTTTCTTTAACTAGTCAGGTACTTCTGATGTTTGAATGCGAACTGAACCTGGCATTGGATATTCTTTATAGATTTTTCGTAAACCATATAGAAATTCGTGGTTTCAAATAGTTAATTATATTAACATTCACCTGGGATTGGAATTCGAAGAAAAACAAACGCGTGTTTATGATAACATTAATGCGAAACGTAATTTGAAACTATGGCAAAGTAGTCCCTGAGCGAACACACCTTCCTAAATGCAATTAAACGCGTACCATTCTCAGTCGTCGTTTCATTTAACATTAATTTTGCAATTTGGGAATTTCGTCACGAGAAATGAAACTAAGTTATTTTAATTAATTCAATAATATTGAATTATAATTACACCGGAACCTGCCCTGTCAATAGCACTGATCCTTTGATCAGCAACTCCAACGTTAAGATCCTAAACTAGGGTTATTAAAGCCAATAATAGCAATTGCAATAGTATTGACCTTCTAATCGACCAGTTCAATGTTAACGACCTATCCAAGTCTAATCAAGTCTAATGATCTAGCTAACTCGAACAATCGGGCTAACATTAGTAACCCAGAATGGAAGTATCCAGAGATACAGAGATCAGAGTAATCCTGGACAAAGTACTTGAAACGAAACGGTGTCAGTTTGTCGAGAACACGATATCTTGCGTTGCAGGCATTTCGATTACGAGCTCACATATTCCAAGGTCGCTTTGATCCTGGGATGGATGCATCCGGCTTATTGGATCCGCTGGTACGCGTCGCGTTTCACGGTTACACGGCCACGACCAGGGTAAGCATCATATGTCGATAATTCACCTTCGATCACCAACAAGTGCTGCAACTAGCTACTAGAACTTCTTCTTTCCTTTTCTGCATGGAACGTTTTAAAAATAACGAGACAAACAAATTACCTTATCAATGATTATCTTCCAAATCGTAATCTCTGACTGAATGAACAATCATTTATTTGTACATTTCTAAAAAAATATTCTATTTACACGTCTACCGTGTACTCAGGTTGTTAAACAAACTCTCGATCCGTTCTGGGATCAAACATTAATACTGCCACCGAGGACCGTGCACGGAACAAAAGAGCATATTAAATTAAATCCTCCCAGGGTGGTTTTGCAGACTTTTGATCAGGACATATGCGTGAGTAACGAGATTTCCGAAAAGTGGATTAACGTATCGCCCTGAAAACGTTCGCGATTCTAAAATTGACAGGGCAACAAGGAGTTCTGCGGAAGATGCATAGCCATCCCATTAGTCAAACTCGCGGAGGAAACTTACTCGCCGCCTGATTTCCCTCCGAAACTCGAGTGGTACAAATTTAAATCGCAAAGGGATTGCAGCGGCTCAGTGCTCGCTGCATTCGAGCTCATAGAGGTGAGACAGGCGATACTGATCAATATTTCCTCTCGGAAAACAGCCTTTTACGTCCCTCACCTTAACTAGAATCAATCTGACATCTTCTGCGCAGATTAATTCTGACTTTCTACATTTCTTTGTCGTCGTTATTGTAGGTAGAAGACGATGAATCGGTAGATAGGTCAATGGACTCCTCGGAACAGGATGTTATTTACAACATACCGACGGACATCAGGCCAAAAATGGCGAACTACAGACTGGAAGTTATATTTTGGGGTGTACGTGACATGAAGAAGATTTATTATTGGCCGGTTATGAAACCTCGGATTATTATAGATTGCGCAGGAGTGAATGTAAAATCGGAAGTGATGGAAAATGCTAAGAAATTCGATAACTTCGAAGAGCCCCACATCATTGTCAGCTTGGTAATGATTATTTTTCTTGAAACTTTTGAAAAAACTTTGCAGGGAAATAAAAAGTTGAAGGCAATAGAATGTTTTATCAAGTTTTTTTCGTTGCGACCGAATATAAAGGACATGCCGGAGCTCGATATCTATTATCCTTCAATCACAATAAAAGCGTACGACTCGCGAGGATTTGGATGTTTCAAATACGCTGGGATTTGCATCGTGCCGAGCATCCATGTGTTCCTGGAGCAATTAATAACCGAGGAGCATTACGACGAGCAGATATACGAGTCGAAATCAATCATGAAGTGCCGACGATCGAAGAAACAGTCCGCTGCGATAGGTGAGTCTCAACGTAGATTTCATTTCTGATTTTTCATTCGAAGATTATATTTCGACCGGTTTAACAATTATTTTATTTCATTCTCACGAACTGCTATTTCGCACAAAAACGAACGTTCCACGAATGTTTCAAGTGCCTCGTTTAAGAGTTAATAACGCCATGGAAAATACGGTTTCATTCAGCGTGTAACCGTGAAGTTTGGTAATTAAAGTTCGTATATCAGTTTCGGTTTGATATAAACATTTTTTAACGACCGAAAAACACGTACTTATGTGCTAGCCTTCCTGTATGGTTTAGAATCTGGGCTAAAATTAACAGGTGTTGATTTATCGATGAATTTTTCTGACGATTGACGCTCTATTATGATCTTATAATCATAATAATGAATTCATCGATTAAGATATTACGCGTAGACTCGGTTTTCCTCACCACAAAAGCAATTTTCATTTTTCAAGAACGATTACCGATCGACTATCACCTATCAAAGGACGAGAACCAAGAATTGATCCCCTACAAGAAAATGACCGCAAACGACGAGTCGTCAAAATTTCGTAAAGTTTTAAGATCCCTGAAAGAATTACTACTTTGTAGAAAGAAGAAGAGAAAGAAAGAAAAATTTCAATCGCATTCGGAGAATGAAGACGAGTCGCTCGATTGGTGGAGCAAATATTATGCTTCTGTAGAGGTAGGAAGAAGCATGTAATAGAGGAAAACTGTTCCGGAACATGTAAGCGAAACGAAACGTTTGCAGAAGGAGAAAAGCAGACAGTTAGGCAGCTTTATTCGGGAGGATCGCGAGCTCCCGGCGACGTTCAAGGTACGACGCTTTAGAGAATTTTCACCAGCTCAGCTGTCTCTCATTGGACGGGAAACAGGTGTACGACGGTGAACTGGAGATGCAACCAGAGTTTGCAGGCTTTCAGGATCGTCTGAGAACGTTCGAGCTTTGGCGTGGGAAGAAGAGCGGAGATCCTGCTTACGATAGAGACAATTATGTTGGGAAATTCAAGGTTTGCCATCAACTTGTCGTTTCCAGAGAATAATTTTGTTACTCGGGTAATATGAATGTTTGCGAAATTGGAACAGCTATGAAAATAGCATAAATCCGATGATTGCGGTAATCGGTAAGAAAATAAATTTCTATAGAAACGAAGCATCCTTTGTATCTTCAATTTATCAGCGAGACAGTAATTATCAGCTCCCTAACGATCCCACGTCCAACAAAAATCCCCCCCCATTGAAGTGCATCCGTCGCTTAAAAGGAACGCTCGGAACAAAGTTAACTACATTCGAAATAACTCTGAATCCTTCCTAATTTCAAACTTTATTCAACGAGTTGCTGTCATCTGGCAGACAGCCAGGAAGCTAGCGTCCGCTTTCCAAACAATTAAACGTCGCTATTGTAACGCAAAGACAGTCTTCTCTCCATTCGAGAAAATAGAATCTCCGCGCATCTCCTGGCAGGCCAAATAATTTCCCTCCAATTGCCACGATGAACGCTCTTAATGCTTTTTCCGACCCACTACATGTTCGTTTTTTAAAACCATGTTACTCTTTCCTCTCCTCGATGAAAAATTGTACACTTCCTTTTTTCACAGGGACGCATCGCCGTGTATCGTTGGCCACATCCGGATAATTTACCGTGCAAAACGAGAAGCGGTAGAAACGCGGTTAATGGTTTGTGCGACGATTATCCGCCACCCGAGCTCATCAGACTTCTGGTTAGGTTATACGTGGTAAAGGGTAAGAGTTTCATAGCGTTCATACGCGTGTGAAACCGATCGCTGGATCGATTCTCTTTCCAGGTATCAATTTGCAGCCTAGCGATCCGCTCACCAGAAAGTCAGATCCTTATTTGTGCATCAATCTTGGGAAAACTTTTATCAACGATAAGAAGAACTACATAGCTAACCAACTGAATCCTACTTTCGGAAGGTACGGATTATTCATTCTATTATTATTGCTTTTTACTAGCAGATACGAAAGTGCTGTATTTTGCAAATGCGTTACAAAGTAATCCTCTTATCTGTGTTTTTGGGACGAGAAAAAGGTTTGGAGAGTTTGTTCATGGAAATATAAAGTTTCGTGATTAAAATGTTTTGAATTAAATAAATTACAGTCTGAAATTACGAGGGAAGAATCGAACAGATTTAATTACCAGTGGTTTTAATTTGATAATATCCGAATATTTACAGACTGTTCGAGATAGAAGCCACATTTCCTCGGGATTACCTGTTGACCATACAAGTATGGGATTACGACGTGACTTCGAGCGATGATCTGATAGGAGAAACTAAAATCGATCTGGAGAATCGATTTTATAGTAGACATCGTGCTGCCTGTGGTATATCGAACAGCTACAGTATCGGTGGTTATAACGCATGGAGAGATCGCGAGAAACCGACGCAGATACTTCAACAACTCTGTAAGAAAAATAATCTTCCCTCGCCGGAGTTCGGCAAAGATTACGTGAAAATCGGACGAAAAAGATTCCCCTTTGTCGAGGATCAGGACGCGACAAGTACGTTTTTTTAAATAAATAGTTCGAACTTGAATGAGAAATCACCTGGATGCAAGGTCTATTTATACCTTATCGGTGATTGATGACTCTTATTCAGGCAGGGAAGAACGCATGGCGCTAAGGGTGCTTCATCAATGGCAAGATTTTCCTATTTGCGGATGCGCCTTGGTGCCTGAGCATCTCGAGAGACGACCACTTTTCAACACCGCGAAATACGGTCTCGAGCAGGTGTCGAAACATGATTTGCTTGAAATTTGCAATTTTTCAATTGATAAATATTTTCGCGGAACTGCACATTTGTATGCATCAAGATTCTATCTATATTTCCATCAAAAAATATGCAAAGAAGAATGATAAATGGAATTTTGCAACGTCGGTTTCGACTAAGTTGAAAGCACCTTCAGTTGTCTATATATTTATCGGTTGTTCTCCAACCACGATCCACGTTTTCGATCGATGTTTCAGGGTAAATTGGAACTTTGGATCGACATGTTTCAATTCGACGAACTTCCAGCGAAGCCACCGGTAGACATTACCGCCCCGGTACCGGAGGAATATGAAATTCGCGTGATCGTTTGGAATACCGAGGATGTGCCACTCGTTGAAAGTCAATTTCTTACGGGGGAAAAGTGCTCGGATATTTACGTGAAAGGGTACGTACGAAAATGGCATCGGCAAATAGAGTCTTATTCCTTAACTCCCACGAGAATATTCTGTAGGATGAATTCAAAGATTTCTTACGAATTTTGACATTTGAAAAGCTTCTTCTTACATTTCTACTCTTTAATAATGCAAGAAAGAGCACACACATAAAATTCACACCCCCTCCAATGAAATATTTACAGTTGGCAAAACTAAAACCACCTTTACTAATGGTTAATTCTAGCTGGTTCCTCTACGACGATTACCAGAAAACCGATATCCATTATAGTTCCCTAAACGGAGAGGGTAATTTTAACTGGAGATTCGTGTTTCGAGTCTCGTATTCGAAGCGTGAACGCGTTATGATCGTTCGTAGAAAAACATCCATATTAGTCGGTAATGAAATCGAGGAGAAGATGCCGTGTAAATTGAATCTACAAGTTTGGGACAGCGACCATTTCAGTTCGGACGACTTTCTCGGTGTGTGGTTAAACTTTCCAAGTTAATTAAATGTTCATTGAATCCAACGGTCCATCGATTTTAGGCGCATTAACGTTAGACTTGGCGAGAATGCCACGGGGAAGCTCGAATTCGAAGAACTGCACTTTGAAACTGCTCGATCCCAATCTGCCAACGATCGATTTGTTTAAAATGACCCGGATCAAAGCTTGGTGGCCGTTTGCTCTTAGCGTTGCCACCGGAAATTACGTTCAGGCGGTGAGTATTGAACGAATGTTCCATTCAATTTCCGACAACTTCTGTTTGCAGCCTTTGTGTACGTTAAATTGAATAGATTTCACAAATTATTCAAGAAACAGCTTCTCGTTCGAGCAAAAATTTATGATCGTAATTAGAATGATGTCTGGTACCACGCGAACGGGTACCATCTGTACGTTTCAAACAGAATTTCTTTTCTTTCTTCACAAAAAGGCTCGTGAAACACTGAAATAGACTCACGTGATGCAAATGTATCTATTCAGGGCAAAGTTGAACTAGAAATATCAGTACTGCGAGCGAAGGAAGCGGACGAGCAGCCAGCAGGAAAAGGAAGAGAATCACCCCAAAATCTTCCCCCACCCAAGTACGTTAATTAAAGGAAGCTCTACGTCAGCATATTAAACGAGAAAGCACTATAAAGACCTAACAATGGAAGCATTTCTATATGCATACAATCTATTAATCCTTTACTTCCATAAATATGGAATGAGTTTAATTAATTCAGGAGGAAATGTCTGACGTTGAGTTTCGCTAAATCTTCTTTATCAATTCATTCATTACCGCGTCTGGGGTTTTTCGAATTTTAACCAACTAATCAATCGCGAAATTCAATTATCTCTAAGTGACTTACAGGTGCATATTTCAAGAGCGTAATATTATTTATTCAACGTTCTCCATGAGGTTATCGTGGTGCGATCGAAATAAAACCCGAACAGGATGAACTCGGCGTAGCTTGATACCATATTCCGCCGCAAATGAAATTAGCGTGGATATCGTTCGCCATCGAGCTTAAATGGATTAATTCCCGATTTTGATCGTCAATCTGTATAACTATGAGTAGCTTCGGTAATAATCAGATAATTTCGTTCGAGTCTGGACGAGTTAATTCGAACTGTTCGTCGTACCAGCCGTATTTTCGGGCAATATTTGAATGATCAAATTGTCTGCTTAGGTTACATGCTCAACGTTTTCAGAGCAAGGAAAGGTCGAAGGATAAAATTAACCCGTGTGCCATTGTGCAACGATACGTACACGTTGCACATGTTAGTCGTGTCTGGTTTTCGGTGATGTGCACGGTGTTGTTCATTTACAGATATTGAACGTGATGAACTATAAAACAATCTTTAACTCTTTCAATTCAGAAAATAAAATATTATGTTTTATATTCATATTTGATTTTTTTTATATTTTATCCCGTGTACAAACGATTAAGGTCGTTAAATAAACAAAATAAAATTGAACACAATGCACGAAATTCGTTTGCAATAATTATCAGAGTTTTACTTCTATCTATAATTTAACAACATCGAACGCAAAATGTGATTCATCATCAATATCCCAAGAATTTCATTAACTCCAAAGCTCGGTGCATTCATTTCAAAGCATTTTGCTTGTACTCACTCACACCCACGTAAATACGTTGACCCGCAAACGGAATAATCGTTGTTCGAACGAGGGTGTAATTAAAGCAAAACACATTAACCACCGTTAAATCACTATTACATAATTAAGCCGGTATGTACGTTGTTTTCGCTAATCCTGGTTCGAACACCATCGACGAATATTTTTCACGGTAACAAAACAGACAGGTGAATCCTATTTCGTTTAATTTATAGCCGACCGGATACGTCGTACTCCTGGTTCCGGAATCCGTGGAAAGCCTTTCGTTTCGTGGTCTGCCGTTATTACAAATGGAGAGTGATATGTTGTTTGATATGCGTGTTGCTGCTGGTGTTATTCGCGTGCGGAATCTACGCGTTCCCTGGCTACATAGTGAAACGTATCGTCGGCGTTTGAAGAAAACGGCCACGGTTCGACGGGATGAAAAATGATCGCAGATAAGAGAATTGGGTCGTTCCATAGAAGAATTTATCGATTGTGAACACTTCGCGCGATAACACCGACGCCATTTGGCCACCGTTAATTGCGCGACAACGCAATGGAGTCGCTTGGTTAACGACCAATTTCGCCAATTAACGGCTGCTGTTTATTGTAAGCCTGACTAATAGGTCACCCTGTTCTCCAACGATTGCGGTAAGGGTGTCGAAGAAGCGTATAATTTAATGTTCTGATTGTACGGTCATAAAATAATATATATTGTTTCGTAGATTACGAAGCGACAAGAAAAATTCTCCGATAACGAAACCTCATTATTTTAGTTTACAACAGCTTAACATTGTAAAATGAAATGTATTGTTTACGTTGAAACGAGATTGTTACGAATTCGTAACAAAAGAAACTTTTGAAAACTGTCAAGTGAAATAAAATATTCGCTTCGAATGACACGAATGCTTCCTTTGAAAATCTACACGGACGTCTATCGTGATTTCGTGTGCACAAGCGAACAGCTTTTGTTCCATTTTATTTTTTTTAAATCGCTCGACAAAATCGGCCCCATTTATCAAATCGCGTTAAACTCTTTTAGCGAATACGAATCGTCTAGCTGCTCCGGTATTAATCAGATTATAACAAAAGCTTCTGGTTATCGCCAGTCGACATAAATTTTCTCGTCCCGCGATCCCGTTTTCGAAATAAAAGAAACTGGAACGTGATCGTAACGAAAACGCTTCTGTTTCTTTCTGACACCGCAAACGCTTCTTCTCTTTTAGCTGATCCGTGTGATGAAAACCGCGAGTTCAATAAACGAGCGACCAGGTGGAAAAGAGGTAACGTGACGCAATGGAAAGATCAATAACTCAACCGTTTCGGTCGAAAGTTTATTGAACTCAACTTTTCTTAACTCTAGTGCGAATAAAACGAAGCTTGGGTGCATTCACCCTTACATATTTTGGCGATTAAAGCTCTTCTAATTTCGAAGGTATTAGCCTTTCAGTGGAGCACAGAGTACCGATTAGAAAACATCTATACCTTCGGTGTATCTTTATTTCTCTTAGACCGAAGGGTCTGTACCCGTTTCAAACGAATCCAGTCACTTTTACGATATCGACGAGCAAGCCATGGAACGTTCCGCGCCGCCCTGTATCTCTGTCACGTCGTGACATAAGCCTTTTTACGGCTAAACTCGAGCAAACGGTTCTAAGTATAGTTTAATCTTCTTTGCTGTCATAGAGACGCAACTCCGACGACGAAACGAGAAGACAAAAAGACAAACCTAACTTTCGTATTAACTTTGAAACAAATCCGTCGTTCGCGGGGGAAGGTTTTACGAAGGGTGTATTAACATTGAGAAAAAGAGGCACAACGAGCGGCAATGCGAAACAAAGTGGCTAGATTTCCATGAAATAATGAAAAATGTTTCGCACAGTTGATATTTCATTTATTTGCAACCCTCTGACAATTTCTTGGACGGTATATAGTTTGATCGATTATGGTAGTAGAAACGATAGGAAGTGTATATCTTCATGAAACGTGTATTACGTATCTATATTTCCTTTCGGAGCGGCTCTTTAATCAGCATTATTGGTTATCGATATCGCGAGCCAATGACATCGAAATACGTCTTTGAATTTTGCTATACATATAAAAAATCGAGAAGTAACAGCCTGCTCCGCCACGGTACTCTATTATTTTTATCCGACATTCTTGACGAATCCATCAGGTCCAACTGACGTATAAACGCGGGAAACAGATGTGCTGTAGGTCTATAGATCCCCGTTATTCCTGTCAATAGGCCTGTCTTCCCTAACGAGATAGAAACGTGCGAAATTTACTGGAATTTTAAATCTAAATATAAAGCGTTCAGAGTATTCCATTCTCCATTTAAAATCACACAAAAAATTCATCTATCTCTAAAATAAATACAAAACACTAGTGTTAAGCAATTAGCAACGTCTCTAGATTAGTCGAATCTCATTAGGCGAGCATCAAGCTCGTGCGTATTAAATTCAAACAGCGGGCAAGGTGGATCGAATAAATGGCCGGCGTCGAATCAATGATTGGACGAGCTCGAAGAAGTTAATACACGCGAACCTGCATGCGGTCCCGCTACCGAATCCATAGTTGCATGCGGTTTTGTCGAAAAACCGGGTTTCTTGGGGGGAAAATAGTGCCGTTAAACGGTCATACTTCGGGGTTGAACGAGCCCACCACCCGTTGCCACGAGTTTGTCAGCCAAGTTTTCGGGCCAACCGAGCGAATTCACTTATTACAGAGCCAGAGAGTCACGCGAATGAATGCATATGCAAGCGGAGAATGCATGCGCTGCAACGTCGACTAAATTCGCTCCTAATGCCATCGCGTGCTTTATCCGACCAAGTATCTCCCGATTGTCGGCCAATGACCTGGCCCGATGAAAAGTTTCACCCCCTGTTCCGCGATAACGTCGAGATTTCGCCTACGATTCTACCAGAAATCTTCCTACCCCCTCGTTTCGCCTCCTCAAACAGAACCACGGTCTGGATTTATGACAGAATTATCAGTGAGCGAGTCGTTGATAGCCCGTGCCGAATTTATGCCACTACTTTGCCTGGGATCCTGGCTTTTAATTTATGGGGAAAATTTTAGACAGACCACCTCAAAGAATTTGAGAAACTTCTTGCGGGAGGAGTGTACGGTAGCTAACGCGATAAAAGAGGAAGGTATTACCTACTTTCATCCTTCGTGAACCGAAGCATAAGGGTGTAAGAAAAATTGAACCGATGCGCAAAGATTAACGATAAGAGGCGAACCATTCCGACAACATCCTTTTCTCGGGAACGTTTGGTTCGCGTGAAAATCGCGCGTAGCGTGAAAACTATCGAGCCTGGCCAACACACGATGATACGAAGCTCGTGCAATTTCTTGGGTCGAGGAATTTCGCGATGAAACGAGGCGGCGAGTCGATGCTTGGCGAACGGCCAGCTATTGGATCCCTATTACACGCTGCCCATTAATATCGCAATCGCAGACACACGTTCGTGCCTCGAAAATTTAACGCCTAGAGTTCCTGGAACGACAGCCACCGAATAAATTTCGGTGCATTATTTAATGACCATAAATCGTCCCTTCTTCCGTGCTACTTCTCGACAACCACGACTTTTGTGCAACCACGACGACTCTCTTTGAGCTTGCCTTACAACACCTGGCTAAATGCCCCACGACAGCGGACATCTTTATGTGGTTCGAACAGAAAAATATTAGACAGTCACAATTAATCACCTGACTATGAATTTAATCAAACGATTAACAGGAAACAGAATTTGTTTAAAAAACAAGCTAAAGTGAACTAAAGCGAGATTCGCTCTAGAGCCAACCCTTTTTCGGCCATTTCCGGTCAGACCGGAAGTGGTAAAAAAAAAAAAAAGAGTTTCAGCCATTCGTTGAGATTTTGACCCATTAAATAAATGGCGTAAGCATTTTTTGGATAACTTTTACCGTTTGGCCTGTACAAAAGTGACAGAAAGTCTAAATGCTATAGCCCCCTTCTCAAGATTTTCAATTTTAGATACAGGTTGGCTAATAAAGAAATTTGGAAGATTATCTGGTAATATTTGACTGTAACTAAAGACAATGGCAATGTAAATAAAGACGAGTGTGCAAGCTGATCGTTAGAATGGCACCAGTTTCGCGTCTCTGACAATCTAGCAGAGCAAGGTTCGCCCTGTACGAAGCCTGACATCCGGGTCGTGACGAGTCTTCGTCCTGAAAAAGCTTCCGTCGCAAGACAAATTTCCAAGCACTCGCACGCCTTCCTCTTGTCACGAAAGGGGAGTCCCGCGTACACAGCCTGTAAACGAGGTCGCTTCGAAGTTTGACGATCGTGTTTCGTGATATCGATAAAACTTGCTCACGGATTTCATGGAATACCTGTCTTTTATCCCTTCTCGACTCTGGCATGTCTGACTGGCCATAGTTCACGGAGAAAAATTATTTTTTACTGGAAATTACGATTGTCTTAAGAGGGGGTGTTAATCCCTGATATTTTTCTAACTAAATTCTAGAACCTATCAGTTCTTAAACAAAAGAAATAGAAAATATTTAAATGAAATAATAATATCAACCCTTTTTTTCCAGAAGTGAAATCCGATTACCTGGCATAATTCATAGTCATTATCAAACGAAACTTGGATTTATACTTCTTTGCAAATATCTACCTTCAACTTCTGATAAATATTTCAGAAACAAGAACGTCTTGTAGGCCAAGTAATTAGAAAAAGTTTTTAATCATTACAGAAACTTCGTTCAAACAGATATATCGTCCCGGTGTGCTCGTAGCCAAGAAAACGGTAAGCTTATAATTTGTTTACAAGCGGTTCCAAGGAGAGTGCTTTGAGTGCTCTTCACGACAGTTCTTGCGTTCTAACGAGAATGTTGTTGCTTTAATGAAACTCGATGCCGTTTCAAAGATAAAAGCTTCCTCGGTATGACGCTTTATCTTCAATTATTCCCGACGTCGTTTCGCGTTTATTCTTTCACCACGGAAAAGTTGTAGTTATTATAAACGATTAGTTCACAGTTTACTAGCTAACACCCGTGAATTACTCCCGGGATGGTTGTTTCTCACTTTCATCGTTTAAACAGCAAGTTTCGAGTATACACCGCTAGATTGTTCGATACAAAATTGCATTAATACACAATTTTATCATCTTTCATGAAAGTGTTCTCTATATATCTTTCACGTTAAAATCTTAAATCATGAGAGTTGCGAGAAGATGTACATGTTTATATGAAAAGTAATATCGCGAAGAACATCGCGTGACGACACGAACCTTCGTATTGATATTTCAATTTTGTCAACACTTCTAATTTCTCGGAAGTTCTGGCACGCCGTTCGTGTTTACAAATTTGGATTACAGATATCTATTCACACGTTAAACGCCATAGGAGTCATCGTTAACCGACGATATCAATTTTAGAAAAATTACGCGAAACAAATCTAAATTAATATTTCTGCAATTATGCGTTGCAACATAAAATCATTTTATATAATATTTCATCAGAATGCTCATCACGTAATAAAATTTTCATTCCAATACCGAGAACAATTTACACAAAACTGGCTCGTCGTTCAACGTGTTAATTAATTCTGAAAATAGATTTTTACGAGAACAATAGCTCGCACAGAAACGATTTGGTCTCGCACAAGAGAAATTTCCAGCTTTATCATTATTGCAACAACAGTCCGTATGCGTATTCAGATACACGACAAATCTGAGCGAATCATCTTGTCGAGGATTACAAGAAACCAGATTATTCTAATCGCTTTGTTATACAAGCGGTTTATAGTATTAAACGTATGGAACTTTATCCCAAAGTGATGTGTTTGGAATTCAATGTAGATATATACGAGTTGATTTAACAGATTTAGTATATTCAGAAATCCTGGCAAACCTCGTTTCGCACAGATGCTGCTTTCCTTAGTTTATCGGGAAATCTTTCGGTATCACGTGACTTCCGGTCTTGTTTCATCCCAAAATGTTATTTATTCGAATAATTCGCGATGAAAAGAGAAGAATATAGCCCACGAATAACCGTGAAACACGATCGTTCAGAGTGGCTCTTAAATCTGATATAATGCTACTCTAGTTAATATTTCTAACATGAGTTTTCCAACGAATATTAATAGCCGTTAGAGCAAAGCATACGTGACGCGTGCCTCAAAATACGGCGATTCATTTCCATAAAACCGAAACGGTAAAAAGTACACGTCTAGTGCATCGCTTTCAAATGTTTTTTCCCATTGCATAACGATAGATTTGCAAAATATCGGCAACTATCGAAAGGTGCAAAGATCATTAGTTTGCTAGTATTGTTTAAATTTGTTCATATTTTATCTATATTACGGGATAGCATTTTTACGAGAACCGTAAATTATGGCGGAAGTTTTTATGACATCGGTTTAAAAGTAGAAACTCGATTAGCTAATACGGTTCGTAAAGAGAAATAAGAAAGTCTTAATTCGAAATTTTACCACTTAAGATCCCTATTTAAAAGCATGTGAACGTAATATTACGTACCTGGACGTTAAGTGGTTAATGCAATTTTTATGATCAATAATCTTTATGACTACTCATGACGGGTGTAGTATGATATATCTAATTCGAAGTTACCTAACCAATATTCACGTTAATAATTAATAAACTACAGTATTGTTCATTAATAAAATTCAGTATTGTCATATTTGTAATTTAATATCAAGTATAAAATCGCGTATTTATCCGCAACGTGTTAAGCGAATTCTTTCATTTCAAATATTGGCGCGCATGCGTATAGTCGGTATACAAACATGGACGATTCGAAACTCCTTGCCAATACACCAAACTGTCTTAATATGATGTATAACTTGTACCACATTGCGTTTAAAGTAACAAGATCAATCAACATCAATGTCAATCTGACACTGGTAATAGATTCGTGTAAAAATCGCGTGAAATCTTGATTTATAAATTGGTAGGTTGGCACATACGCACGTGCACGCAATGTACACAAACAAATCGTATTTACCACTAATTAATATAAGTTCTAACGTAACACAGTACCTGTACATTTCTTCGTTGATAGTTCCTTCCAACTGTCACGATTTTCCAAGTCAATTCGTTCACTTTTATCACACACAAGAACAAAATAAGTAGAAGCAGACAGCGAGCAGCAGAGAGACAATGACGCGTCGTTCACCCCACAGATGCCACGTGACCCGAATGGCGCCGACACGAGTGCGAAGGCCCTGAAAGGCCGAGCGAGATGGCGTTACACGAAACATACCGAAGCCGGCCGACTACGCACGAGGCGGTCGCGACGGCAACCACGTTTTCCACCCTCGTCTTCAGTTTATCGTGGTGTGTCCTGTCGGCCGGTTGGTTTAGTAAAACGCGTGCTCTTCTCTCGCTCTCCCTCTCCGTTTGTTTCTCGTCGGTGTTTTATTCTATCGCGATCCAAACACACTGCGCGATTCGTTTCACGTGGCAAATTGTCGTTGCATACACGCCGGGAGGGAGAGGCCATTCGATGGAGATACGCGTTCTAGTGGAAAGCCGGCGAACAGTGTTGTGAGTTTTCATGTGCGTACGCGTTGTCAGAAAGTTGTATCTTGCCGCGTAATTCGTGAGAACCGAGTGACAGACGACCACGAAAAGGATCGTTCTCCCAAAGGACTTGAGCGTCACGACGAAGGAGTGGAGATGCATCCGGAGAAACGTTGTTTCGCGGACCGATGAACGTGGCTGGCAGTTGACTCGATGCAGAGGGACGCTAAGGTAAGAGTTCAATGTACGCCAACGGCATCGTTGGCACGCGAGACTTTGCCCGGAAAAATAAACCGCGTCGGGTCGCATGACAGATTTTTCTTTTTGGAGCGTTACGTTGGTACCTCTTACCCGCCTTAACTCCCCCCTCCCCCCAGTCTACTCGCACTATCGGTCGCGCTCGATTCTTGATCCTTCGTTTCGTGCGATCACCACCTCGTGGCGTACTCGAGCCGCGTTACTTTGCATGAAATTAATTTCCGCGTTTGTTTTCGCAGACGAAAACACGCACCTTCGTGTGTGCTCGCGTTGGCGTGCAGTTTTGATGCGTTCTAGAACGTCATGCTAAGCTTGGTTCTTTTAATTGGCTAAACTGATCGATGGAAATGCGCCTTCAATCGTTCTGACGCGTTTTAAAATTGGAATGAGTAGCTTTTCATTTGCATATTATTGCATCTCACCAGAGGAAGGTGCAATTAAATTTTAACATATTCACTTTGCATAGACTAACGATAAGAGGATGAATGTTGGTCCAGTTCACGTTGTGCAGTTCAGTTGGTCATGTAATATTTCTGGTCAGATCTCAAAACTGCATCGTTTTTATGATTTCCAATTTTATTTGTAAACTATTTTAAGGAAAGCAAATACTCAGTAGAAATAAAACACACTGTATGTTGTGATAATCTACATCTGATAGCAGATACCGAGCTAGATAAAATTGCTAGGCGAATCAATACATTCCTACAAAATAGGAAAGTATATAGGGTGGTCCATTAACGACATATCTAATCATTTATATACATATACATTCCAAAACAAATGAAATTTAAATCCATCACAAAAACTATCTATTCAATTGATTGAAATAATAATTAAAATTTGCGTAACAATTGTTAAATTCTCATAGGTTTCCAGCGCAGTAATGAAAATTCTCATGGAAATTTGATGCTTAAATCGATGATCTTTAGATTAAAATGGACCACCTTGTACACATGTCTGTCAGTCACACGCGCCCCTCTGTTTCGGGGTTCGAGGGTGGGTTAATTAAGAACCGTTTAGTTGGGGATAATTTATCGCGGCCAGTTTTCGGGTTAATGTCCTTCAAGAGTGGTTGGAAAAGAGGCTGGAATTTATTAACGACCGCCACGGATAGATAAGGCTTTTGCGCCACGTATGCAACTAGCAATGAAATACTGCGCGTAGCATGTAGCGTGGTTAACGCTGAAAAGAGTGCAAACGATCTTGAAAACATGTCATTTATCCAGCTGCACGAACGTAAGGCGAAGAAATGCATTATTTAACGTTTCACCGCTCGGCCCTATTATAACAGAGATTTTATAGCTAACCTTTATAGTTACACAGAGAATATGGATATCATTTTTCAATTGCGAATGATAAATGAAAATCGTGTTTCCTTTATTCTCGCTTTCTTGTATCAGTCTCGTAGAAGTTACGAACAGTTAAAGCATCGTTATCATAATACAAAAGATACGAAACGGTGCGAAGACAGTCGTGATGGATTAACAGATTCCAAGGGGGGATTGATGGTAATACAATAGAACAGAAATAGGATAATTCAACGTGAAGCAACTTTTACGCGCTACTCGACGAGAGAGAAAGAGAGGAAGATATATTGATAAGTGAAACGAATGAACTTTTTATTCGTTGGATTACAGCCCCTAAAAGGGGACGTGATAACGATAAAGCGAACGAAATACATTTCTCCCAAGAACGTTGGCTGTAAGAAAGAAATGACCTGCTCCCAGGAAATTTATTCTTGATACAGGGGGAGAGGGTAGATATAAAGGTGCAGGGATGAGTTATCGAGACTACCAAACGAGGAGAAAATTGACGAACGTTGAATTACTAATCGCGGACATAAACTCGCGCGAATTGAAGTTGAACGCATCATTATACCAGGGAAAAGGTGGAGATAAAAGTACAAAAGAAGTTGTTCGCAGAAATTATTCTCTAAGAATCGGTCTGTTATATCCTAATCAAGTAAACCGATGGATTTTAGTATAAAAGAGTGAAGCTAATAAAGTTACCGATGCATCGGAATAGAATTCAAAATTCCTGTTTATTAAAATAAGGAACTTCCGATCTTTTGTTGTTTCCTTCGTTCATTGTGTCACCCTGTAATTCGTTTTTCCCTCGGCTTCTCTCTTTACGGGAAACATCCTCTCAGCATTGATCGAACTTTTCAACTTTCTCAAGTTTTCACTTTAGACCAATTAAAGATATCTCGTAGGTTAATACTACTCTCGTAGGTACTTTCGCTTTGAAATAACAAATACTCGAACAATATACTTCCTTTTTTCTACGAGGAAACTTCGATATTCCATTAAAAGAAAAATTATTTCTTATATCGAATCGAAGGGTTTGTAACAAAAACGACCCTGTCAAAGTTTACAATTTATAATATATTTTAATAACCAGCGAGACTCGATATCGTTAAAAATGATTTATGTCCTGTAGAATGAAAAGGGCTATTTGTGGCTCCTGTTAGAAACACTGTTTTTTTTTTTTCACCCTTGGATCGCAAGTTAAAGTTGAAATTTTCCTTAGGTCTGACTTATGGTTGACCCGGCCACTAGCGTTCCAGGATTAAAAAGAATATCGATATTTTTAATTATGTTTTTATTTGTTTTTTTTTATTCAACCAACTTTTGCGATACCTACTCACCGTAAAAGTGGTATGAAATATTGTAATGAACATTCGAAGTTATTTTCAACCACTTCGGCGTGTTCTATTTCTGTATTGAAATGTCGTGATTTATTCGCCAATCGATTCTATTTTTTTTTTCTATTTTTTTTTCTTTCTTTTTTAACCACGGTTCATCGGTAGACCTCGAAATTGAGTTTAAGCATTCTGTAAACACGCTTCAATGTTTTTTACGTTTCGAACACGATCGCGCGGGAAATGATGTTAACACGCGCACTCGTTCTTCAACGAACGTTGAAAGCTCTGTTTATCTTTGGAAAAGAAGCGAAAGCACATTGTAACTGTGGCGAGATAATCGCGGTATGGCTGCAATACACCGTGCGTCACGACATATTGCTTGCTTTTCAAACAAAATCAAATAGGATAACATATGTATTTCAAAAATATGCTCTCACACCGCCCATTCGACGTTTGGTTTATTATTCTTATAAATAGCACAAAAATTTTCTATACTCTCGATTATTCTGAATTCACAGATGGAATTTACTTATTTAGTATTTAATATTCTACAGAAATAAATCATTTTACAATATGAAAAAAATATCGCATATTTCAAGCGTCGTAGAATGAAAGCAAGCTAAGCGAACAACGGAGTTAATTTTTCTTCCCCCGGTTAAAAATAAATTTCGAACGTGGATGAATCATTGAATTCGTTGATGGATAGAACTTTACATTGCGTAACATAGGTAAATTCTCGATGCTTCTGCTAGAGAATCATCCTCCTTCCGCGAGATAAAAGCGAGTTTTATAATTTACTATTCCAACCTCCAGAACAGAATTTATTGCTGACCGGGCCGTAAAGTTTAAAAGTGCTTTCAAAAATCGAGCCACGTACCTCGTGCAAATGAGATACGCCCTGTTATAAGCGTAATATGTACGTATAAAGGACGGAAGAGATGTAGATAATGAAAGAGTTACCATATTTCGGTAATATTTTCATTTAAAATGTTAATCGTTAGATCATAAATCACTTATTTTGATAGATTTCGGTCTCTAAATTAGATTTTTAAACGAGCCGTCCGAATTTCGAAACGAACGTTCCGCAAACACGAATTACGGTATGCAGCAGATCAAATAATGAAAAGTAATAGATGCAAACACGCGTATGCATTTAAATTGAACCAGGTTGAATTTATGAACGTCAGACAAGAGCTTCGAGAGCAACAATTTTAAGCGGATCCCACGGGATGCGTGTAAACGTGGCATTCGCGAGCAAAGCTGACAGAAACGTGGCTCACTTTATTCATCCGGAGAGACGTCCGGCGAAATGGAAGCTGACTTTTAATCGCGAAATCGTGCCCCAGCATAACGAGTATCATCGATTATTATTGGGTTACCGATAAACCAAACGCAAACAGAGAAATCTCAAATCAAATTTACCCTGGGTTGATTTTTCTACGAATTACCCTTTATAATAAAAGAACGCTTCTATTGTTCCCAACATTTGCTTAGAGAAAAGTCTTTGGAAAATCCAATAGGATTCCTGAAATGTTTGTAATGGAAACGATATTTACGGTTCGATCCATTTAGGATTGATAGGATCGAGTGTCCCTTTGTGCGTTTCTAAGCAAATAGAAAGCGGCAAGATTTATGGAAATCCATTGCATTGGATTTATGAGAACGGCCCAACAACTTCTGTGACGTTTGACTAGGGAAAAAGTGAGGATCAAACGGAGAACGAATTGAAATTTACAGAATTTCGATCGCTGTTGTATGGTTTAGGTATACTAAAAATAAACAAAATACCTAGCTATATTATTAAGCAAGAGAAAGATCTTTTTGTTTTTAAGTAGAAGGAATTTTTATCATTTTTGAAGTCTTTGATCGGGAAAAGAAGTAGCCTTTTGGGAATAGGAATTTTCTATTTGCAATAAGAAAACTGAAAAATCACGTCCTCTTCGGTGACTCGACTTTTGATTTTCTTCTTCCTCTCTTAAAAAAAAAAAAAAGAAAAGAAAGTATGACGTTTTTGTCAGTCAATTCTGTGTTCGTCTTATGGAAGAAATTGAATTTTGCCAACGTCTGAGAGAAAGAATAAGAGAGCAAGGGTGCAGAGCTTAAGATGGGACGATTTATTTTTACCCAGCACTGGTAGCTATGGTTTTTTGCTGAATGCAGAAGGTCTCCGCTATTGCTGAGGACTTTCGAAGCACCCTGAAGAGCAGATGAGAGCGAGAATGTCGCTGATCCTATAGAAGAAAGTTCAAAGTGCCTCTCGTCTTATCCTCGAGAAACATAGCATCGCTTTGATGCTACAAGTTTCAAGGGTTTCTGTTGTTTCAGCCCT